ATACTTTGATAATTCATTTGCAAAAACGCGTGACCAAAAATAAAAATTCATCAACGAAATGATTTAATGCAAATGTTTGACCATTTGTATGCATTTTGTGGTTAATTGCTGTAATCAATGCAATATTCCATTATTTTCTTAAGAACTTTATTATGACGTCTAAATTCTGATTTACATTCTAATCCGGACGGCTGATCTTTGGCCATAACTAATGATTAAATAAACAATGAACACCAGTTTGAGAAATGCAGCTATCACTATACGATAAATTAATTAGAATCACACAGTACTAATCAATAATTAATTAATATCTGTCAATAATAACGAACAGCTCAACTGGAAAAATGAATGCCCGAGTTGAATACTAAAATAATAAATTGCTAATCAGCATGAACACATCCTAGAGTAAAATTTAACCTCGAAACTGTCATAAATGCCACGAGAAAGGATTCAACAACCACTGAATTATTTTAATCATCCCAATATTCGATAAATTATTCCTTAAATTGTGAGTGCGAATTTACTGAGTGGATAGATTCTAAAACCATCAATTGGAATTTAACGATAAGATTTGAGTTTGAATATTCTTTTCTCAGTGCGAACGACGAAAAATATCCTCGAGTTATGGATCTACTCCGTAGAAAACCTGACAATAAAAATAACAATCGAGTAATCCGAAGTCATTGAGAAATCTGTTAATTCCACTCGAATCATTAACTCACACTGGAGCCGTTGTGGTCAGCCCACCTGACTCTCCTCGATATTTCAAAATTTCCTCCATGAATTCCATAAAGATGACGTGCCAATACGTCAGCACGATCCTCCTCAGCTTTTCTCGCTAATCTCCTGTACCTCCTGATGACGTAAATGCAGGTGATTGTCAAGAGGATTTGAACAATCAGCCAAAATATCAAGAGACCGAGTGCCAGAGCTGGATCAACGCAGAGAAGACGATCCGACGATTCTAATTTTTTTTAAATAATTCAAATTCCGTTATTCTGCATGCGAAGAAAAATGTCGATTTTAAATTGATGATTTATCCCGATAATTATGGTTCCCCGGGTGAAATGGTAAGATATTTTTTGTGGCTGGTTAAGTTTTGATGAAAGCATGTGGCATATTTTTCGTAAAATGGTTCTGCAGATTGATGAATGTTTCAGGAAGATATTAATTTTTTTTGTTTGACTTACGTTCGCCGGAAATTAAAACTGTATCTGGTCTATTGCCAGATCGCAGAGGAACAGCTGCAACAGACGCCTCTCTCACGACGATCGAAGTATCCAGTGGAAGTTCCTCCAGAGGTATTTCAGGGATCTCCGAAGGAATTATTTCGTTGACAGAACGTCTGCGTCTTCCATATGACACCACTAAATCCCGACACTTTGTCTGCAATAAATAAACACCCGATCCGTGTGACTATATTTTCGTCAACGATTTACTCAGCGTTATGAATTTGTGCCGATTACGGAGTTAATTGTTCGATTTATTACGTGGAGGGATGATTTATTCGAGGTTAGGATTTGTACGGATTACGGATTAAGTTTTTCGGTTTATTATATGGAGGGATTAAAGCGAAGGAGTGAAATGGATTAGCGAAAGGAATTATCCTTGGTTAATATTAGTTCCGAAGCATCTTCATTTGTTCCCCGTGTCCGACCGCTGGAGCTCCATCCGGATGACTGAATTTTTGGCATGATTTCACAAGGTTTATATATTAATTTATGCAAACCGTAAATGTTTAACCCCCCACCACCAAGTTTTCCACCAATTACAGCATATGCCTTTTCATTTCCCCCACCACCAAGTTTTCCACCAATCACGGAGAATTCTCTTAAGTGTATTATTTTGAAGATTAAAATTCGTGGAGCGGCCTCTGTTTTACGTAGCAAAATTGAGTTTTCTGAATTAGTGGAGAATAGCAGTCTTCAAGGTTATCCGCACTGCTGTGATCTCCCGCGCAAACGTTGTCGATCCGATCCGAGTGATTGAAGTTTCGTATTCAATTCACTAACGACGCCTTGCGTTGGCTTCGACGAGATATTTTCCTTGGCCTGCGTGAAGGACTGACAGCGAAGGAGCGAGCGCCAATTCTCCCGGCGGAATAGAAACTTCTCAGCTATTGAGAATTATTATGTCTCAAGATTCTCCTGCTCTGCTCTTCTCCTTTTCTTAGACTAGCTCCGGGTGATCCGATGTGTGTAATGAAATGCCGAATGAAATGCACCCACCCTTATCAACTCGCACGGACCTTAACGAGAAGCCCTCACTGAATTAATTTTCATTCCCCCGCCACCGAATTTTTGGCCAATCTCAGAATTTTCCTTTCGATTCCCCCACCACCGACTTTTTAGCCAATCTCAGAATTTTGATTTCGATTCCCCCACCACCGACTTTTTAGCCAATCTCAGAATTTTGCTTTTGATTCCCCCACCACCGACTTTTTGGCCAATCTCAGAGTTTTACTTTTGGTTCCCCCACCACCGCGTTTTTGGCCAATTATGAATTTGCGGGTTTCAACCGGTGTGCATATAAACAGGTGTAGTACCAGGGGTTAATTCAGTCTACGGAACACATCGGACAACTCCACTTCAATTGAGGAGATACGACGGATGGAGGAAAACTCTTCGCGGGTCCCGACGACCAGAATTCCTCCACTACGGTTTCAATACGCCACGGAGATGAATAGAACGAGTCTACTTCGGTTATTGAACAGACAGATAGCGTTGTCTTTGGAACTAAATCTTCGGAGTGACCTTCGGCATCGAAAATAAAGACGCATGGATGCACGTCAAAAAATATTACCGGTTGGCACTCGTTAATGCAGAACTTGACGACGGCATTGAATCTAACTCGATAACTCCGTGGAAACTTAAAAGCAGTGAATGTTGAGATCAACGATTTATTGTCGTATGGATCTTTAACCATTGGTGGAAATACGTGAGGATCGGCTGGACATCCAATTTCATCTAGGAGGAGAATGGATTGATCCCCAGAGGCGCTGCTTGCTACAAGATGTCTTGCAGTGATGTCGTATGGCCCTGAAACCCACCATCGAATGAAATTTAATTCACAGCAACCTAATCCTTCGATAACTAATAATCCGATAGTTTAAATCCATTCTTTAAATTACGAACCGTCCGGTGGATAAATTTCAATCCTTAAAACTAATCGCTGTCCTAAATTCGCGAAAGATATGTCGTTCATGTTTTCATCAACAATTTTCATCAGCAGAACTGGCGGGGATGTTGTGTTAAATACTGTGGCAGTTAGAGGTGGCAGTCCAGCACTGTAAGTCAAATATGAAAAATATTTTTTAATTTCTACGATCGGCGGGAAAAGATTTCGCGTTTTCAGGAAGAAAATCGAGTTTAATAATAAATCGTACAGTCGGTGTACGTCATTGATTTTTCGGGGGGAGAAATATTTTTGAATAATTCTAGTTTTGCAATAATTACTCGGGACTTGAGAAGCCATAACCGGTTTCCACGCTGACATTTCTGGGCAGTGGAATTTCGCCATTGTCCAATGTACATCCAACCCTCACGGATTGATCTCCAAGTCGTTGGATTATCGGATTAAATTGTACCACCAAAGTCACCCAAATGGCTGCTCGCGTTCTATCAATCATATTAGTAATTAGTACCATACAATTACAGATCTTCATTAATCCCTCAGCTGAATACAGTGACGAGAATTTAAAAATCGGTTGTGATGATTCCTTACACACTGAATAGACTCTTGAAACTTGAAATAGATTTTCTAAGCGTTCATTAATTGTTGGGGGAGGGAAAAATTATTGAGGTTTTATTACTGATTTTCGGCTTCGAGAGCGTATGCAGGGGTGATCCCGCAATTGACATTTCCCTCGTCTAATTCCGTTTCGCTGGGAATTCTGAGGGCCAAGGTCGTTGTATTTTTTCCTGTCCCCTGGACATCGCAAGTTTCACTGTAACCACTTGCATAGAGACGACCTGTGAATGGCTCTTGAGTCTCCAATTGAATGACTAAACTCTCGTTCGTGCATGAGACTTTAACTAGAATCAAAAAAAAAATCTAAAACTCAGTAACAAAATACCAAAATAATATTCCAACAAAAATATCGCGAGACCTATCGATTTCAACTTTTTGGATAATTCTGATATTTTGTCATAAAATCAATAGACCTCCGATAAATCGATATTTAATAGAGAACCACTCGATTTTCTCTCGATTCTCATTCTTTCCTGCAATTGTAACGCATATTTGCACTCACGGTTTAAACAGGGCTCTCGTTCTTTATAAATTACATTTGCCCTCTTTATCAGCGCACTGACGCCTGTACTTATCGTATCATGAGAGTGCAGCAAACACGTCGAGGAATTTTCCCCATGACCCGTTGCATTAGCAAGCGTAAAAGCTCTGCAGATGAATCCATCTCCACTTCTGTTACACCGCGCCTCGCACTGGAAAATATCAACAAATTATCCAATCGATATTCGATAATTATCCATTAAATTCCATTGATGTACACTGAATTACCTGTTTAGCATCTAGTCCCTGGATCTTCCGATCCGCATATGGCAAAGTCTGATTCTGAATTTCTGCGTAAGAGCAGAAATCTAGACTCGCTGTCAACCAAAATTTAATAATTATTTTATTATTAATTTCAAGAACAATCAGTGCAGTTGAATTGAATTTCAATTAAATGTCAGTTTCTATTGATTTTTATTGATTGGTAATTTGTTGAGATTTTAATTAACGTAAAAATGGTTAATTACATAAATTATGGCACTGAGGTTCCAAGTACTCATCTCGGTACATGGAGGCCCTGTAGGACTGGGGTCTGACACTTCTCTCAATATTCAAAAGTGTGCAAATGCCTTTTGAATCGCCAACAGCCAGAGGCTGACTCGTTCTGAATTGAGCAGATTTGCAATTTCGACCTGAAAAAAATTCTCTCCTCAATCCAATCAATTATCTCATTGTCAATTCACAATTTTACCCTCTTCAATGCATCTCTGATAGCACTGACTCCTTGACAGAACCTCAGGTGGCGATAAATATCTAGTATCAATCAGAACAGCTCCCAAGGTTCTTTCCACTTGCCAGAGTCGATCCTCTCTGCACCCTGGAGGCACTAATCATCAATTGTTCTTGTAATTAGCATTATTCCATGCAGTGTTTAGCATACAGCAATTATGGTGAACAATAGTTGTGACACCTGATGAGTGATAAAACGGTTATTTACCTCTCAGGCATATTTTCTGGTAGAGAGTGAAATTTTCCGCTGGTTCCAAGTCTGTACTTAATTCTGTGACACTGGTGCATAAACTTCTTTCAAAATCTATCAAAAATGACGTGCAATTCGTGGTGTTTAAACATCTGGAGAGCAATAAAATAATTGAATGATTAATTTTATTCATTTTATTAAATTCTCCAGAGGTTTTACCTGTCGAAACAGATAGTGACGATCCCCTGGGAATTTTCCCCCAGGTAGAGGGTCTTCACGGAATTAAATGTCTCGGGTTTCACCCCCTCAATCTTCTCCCATCCCTCGTCGCATTTTTCGCCCCCTACTACAGGAAAATAAATTAGTTCACTGATGTTTATATTTTTTAATGCACGCACGGGTTTTTTTAAATAATTAGTCACCACTTGGGGCTCGAAAAAATTACTGGGTTAATCAGCGAGTGATAATTCTTCGTGATTAATTGATTATATATTATTTATTGATGCTAAGTGATTTCTCTGGGCTGTAATTGGTAGACATGTATGTACAGAGGCATGACCCAGATTTTCCTCGTAAAGAGGCGATGGAATATTTATGGATGAATGGGAAATGAGGATATTTGAGGTTTATGACGTGACAATAGTGAGAGTTACGAGATCAATTGAAGGAAAGAACAATTGCATTCATCATTTCATTTCAATCTCTCAAAAAATCAATTGAATAGTCAATTATTTATTTATTCTATACCCCTCAAAAATTCAAATTGCCTCCGGAAATTCATTAATTCATAAATTATCATCGTAAAGAGAATCTTATTGAAATTTCAATAAATTATTACGTCAGTCATTCATTAATTATATTATTATCATATAAAAAAAATATCTCAGGCCCTTGAAATTCAGACGAAATTCCAATGAATTTTTGCAGTAGAGAATGAACAGATTTTAAATGTTTTTGATAGTTTATTTTTTGTTAAAACGGGACAGCAAGATGAATATTAGGGAGAAATTAATCAGGGATCCCCAGAGAAGCGAATCAAAGACCTTTGCACATGGCAAACAGTACAAAAGGTGCATTACGTATTGAAAAATATAAACATAGAGTTCACTAGTTGTATCCTGTATACTCACCTGTAACAGTAACAATTATCAGACAAACTATAACGACAGTCTCGTGGTATGTCCTTCGCATTTTCGCCTTGAGCTCGCGAAGATAAAGAGAGAAAAAAATAAAATAACAGGCCAAAAACTTCGAGGTGATTTTAACGAGTTGTTATCTGATTTTTTGAATAATTCTCCGCTGTTTTGCCTTTGTACCTCGCCATACTAAAGGAAAATGTGTTCACTGATGTTTTTCATTTCCTCGTTACATAATATTTCACCGTGACACGTGGAATATTCGCAGAGATCGGTAGTTGTGGCTGATACGACGAAAGAATAAATCAAAATATTATTTCCTTATTATTTTTTAGAACCTAAAGTAACGGAGTACAAATCGTTTTCACGTCTCAAGATGTCAATCTCCGGTGATTGATGGAAATTAAATTGAGGAAGTGTTAAAATATTCAGTTCAAAACAATTTTTTATGGGAGAAGCAATCGGAATAAATGCACAATTAGAAATAAAACAATCGTCTAGAGAAATCGTTCCCTGGTAAATTCACGTGGGCCTTGAAATTTATTTTTATTGCACTCATAAAAACCAAAAACTGGGCATTGGGAAGTCGAAAAAAATGAGCAATTAAAAACAATAAAAATCACACGAATGATAGACTCACGGAATGGAAATGTTTAAATAAAAAACCGGTGATTTCTTCTATCCAGATCCCTGAACCTCACAGTTTTCCTTCACTCGTTGCACTGAGCCCCAACAGCACATATTCTCAATAAAAATAGTTTCAAGTACCGCCAACGGTTTTGTTTGAAGTACAACTAACAATTGTCCCCGTAAAATTCCCTCGTGTCCCAAATCGAAGAATTCTTTTTATCCAGACAAAAGAGCTAATAAAATAAACGCATGCGGCAACACGGAGTGTTCTCCAGGTATTGGCTATGAAAAATTTAAACAACTGAATCGTTATCACTTGGAGGAATAACTTATGTCCGTACAAATGATTCAGATAGGATTCAATACGATGTGACTGAGTAAATGATTGTTCAGTCGGTTGTGGTTCAACGTTAAATGCAACCTGTGAACACCTGTTTGACCTGATGGAACCAATTGTCAATGGTAGAGACCAATTACTTTGGGGCACTAGAGGGGGGATGGGCAATTACTTTACATTATCCCACTACGATTTTTTCAACATTCTCCCACTACCCGCGGCACTCGTTAAAAAATCAGTATTTATTTCATTTAGAATCTCATTAAATTAGATTTATTCATGATCAATTAATTTTATAAAAATAAGAATTTCAAAATTATGGGGTGAATTATTTTTTAAATGAAAGTTTTCTTAGAGAAACAATTGAAATAATATTAATAGACCAATGAAATTGGAAAGTGTAAAAATACGTTATGATTAATCTACTTCAAGTGCGTAACGATATTTTCATCGCAATAGCTAATTACAGTTCCTGAAATGCCTAAATAGCAGCGATTACTCAATATCCTTAATCCAGAAAATAAATAAATAATAAGCGATACCCGCAGTGAAATCGAATGACTTCCTGACGAGTGTTCACTAAACGAATCCACAGATTTGAAAGTCCGGGGAACCCCCATGATTTTTAAAAGACCTCATCTCTCGGAATTGTGCAAGGGGCCTCGTAAAACTGAAAATCCGTACAACTTGTGAGGCAATATTTTGAGAAGTACATGAGCATTCGTTTGCATGCTTGACAGCGCTTGAAATTAATTCTATGAGTGAAGGTACCGATTCTGGAGAATAGTTTAGCCTCAGAATGAGCAATGAAAATACTGGACCCTTTGTTCTTCCACTCCGACCCCTGGAATAATTAGTTGGATCACTGCCAGAGCTTTAGTAACTTGGTGTCAGTTTTTTCAACTCTTTCTTCACTTTTTTTCTCGGTTTATTGTTCCCATTGAAAATGCTGGGATATTGTTGATGCGGGTCGACACCCGGATGCATTCGAAAGTTATGGGTCACTAGGGAAAATACATTCAGGAAAATGTAACATCATCCCGGATTGCACTTTCTACTCCAACTATTATATTATTCAAAATTCCTCCGTAAATAATTAATTATTCCTTTAAAAAATGATAAAAATGATAGAATTATAGTTATTAAATGCGGGATTCAAATAATTGCGATCAGATGTTCGGATGACAGTGAAAAATTGAAAAAAAAAACGGTATTGGGATCACGAAATGATTTCAAGGGTCTCCAACTTCCGTTTCCTTTGGGCTACCTTGGAATTCCGGTGAATGCAGAATTATATCGACGTGAAAAATCTGCAGTTGTATATAATATGACTTCCCAGTAAATACGTGTTCACAGAGCCATGAAACTAAATGAGCGTTGCACTTACCTATTGACACGAGTACCAAAGCATTAGTCCATGTATCATCGAGGTGTAAAAATCGATGTATGACACAGTGTACAGAGTTTATGTTAATTATGAAAGTACCAGCAGAGATGACCACCGATTTCGATGGATTTTTATGCTCAAATTATCGGCTTGCGTCACTTTTTTTCAATTGTCTGTAAATCATGTCGACTCGTTAAACCTCTGCATTCCTCTAGCGCCTATTATTACCTCTGATTTAATAGCCGGGTCGAGTGTGAGGTAATAAGAATTATTAATTGCGACGTCTTGTTTTCCCGAGTTGTGTTTTTTTTTCAATTACTTGAAATTTTTTTTACGCAAAATGAAAAAAATGCGGTGTTCGTGGTTTTTTGGAATAATTTCTGGGGATTTGATTTCGTAATGGATGAAATGTTGGGAGCAATCGATCTTATCGGGCCCAAAAATATAATCTATAGCACTATTCACTTCCGAAACCGTTTCCTTCCTCATTTTCACGCTTAGTCGAGTCGTTTTACTCGTAATTTCCTGTCGGGCCTAGTTTCTTTCTTTATTTTTCATCAATTCACGCTCTCATTTTTGCATAAAATCGGTTGGGATTTTGTTGGGAGTGGGTGGGAACACATCGGCCTGCAATTGGCCTGAAAAATATTGAACCCTTCAATTTCTATCTCAATTTCGTTTTGAGCAATTCACTGCAATTCCGCGAATAAATAAGAACAATAATTTGCAATAAATGTAGTTTTCTTATTTTCATTTACTTAAATCTAGGAGTAGCAATAGTAGTTTCATAGCAGCAGCAATTATGATAGTATTTATAATATCTGTCATTAACATGATTTTTCCTTCCAATAATTAAAATTATATTAATTAATTATAATCGCAATCGTCATGATTATCATATTTATATACATGTGTGTTGACGTCCATACAGGCACGTGTTTGATTATTAAATAAGTCGAAAGGATTTTTCACACCAAAAATAACTGAAGTCTCACAAAAAAAATTATTTAGCCCTAAATCTCAAAGCGTGTCTGTACGTACTGAAAATCTCACGTGCTCAGATTTATTGATCCTTTAGTAGTTTCTTTCGGATTTACTCTCACCATACGAAAGATTTACATCTAGTGATTCACATACACCTTCTCACCGTTCAATTTACTCCAGAAAAATGATAATTTCAATTGATTTTAAAAAATGCTTCTCCAATTTCGTTCAGAATGAGCAAATGTGGGGGGTATTTTTTTCTCTACAGAAATATCAGTCAGATTGTACAAAATAATAGAACGTAATCAGTGAATCATCTACCAGGTATACGATATGTGAAAAATGTGGGTGTGAACATCATTATTCCATTTAATTCATTTATTTTCTCATTCTAAAAACAATAAGACTTCCGATTATTGAAATCTCCGGTGCCCGGGCAAATCGCCGTAACATTTACAATTTTTCCGATTGATTTACAAAAAAAAAATAACAATTAGATTTTTCTTATTAAATGGCATAAAAATAGTCTCATAATATTGTCTGAATTATTTTTTTCCTCAGACAAGATTAAAATTCGTCCTGAATCCTCCAGGGCCCCAGAAATTCCAAATTCGTACATTATCTTTATCCTTACGTCCACTAATTCTCCCCTGTTCTCTTCAAATTCATTTTTTCGTTCCACTGAATCGGGGGATTTCAATTCGAGTTTTCTCTCAAAGATTTCTCACTCGAAATAACTTGTGAACAAAGATTTTCATTTTAAATTCATAATTTACGTAATTCGGTGCTCTTCTCGATGGAAATAGAAGTATTCAAGACAGGATGTCATTCATTCATTTCTTACACCTCCGAATTTCGGTTCCATGTCTATAATTCAAAAAACAAATTCAACACGTCACCTCAATGCATATCATGTCAACACATTTCGAGGCATCACAATATAATTTTTAAATGTGCAAATAGAGATTTGATTCGGCGAATATAATATACAAAAAAGTGACAGAATGTATCCTCGGAATTCCAATCGAGCCAGAGGAAATTCAGAATGTAAACAGAAATAAACGCATCGGAACATTTCAATATGAGACATCCAAAACAAACAATAAGACTCCGGGATCAAATAATTTTGAGAGCAAAAGAAAATGTTGAATTGATATCCTGCGTTGAAATGACGCAGTGAAGTATAGACGTGTCACTCCCAGTTTCCACTTCCAAATGGCATAAAAATTTGGTTAATCTTCCCTACCCTCACGATTCGATTCGAGTCTCTCGCAACGCACACAGATTCTCACGAAGCGTACAATCTGATCTGCGTTACCGTTACTTTATCTTTTTTGTATTTCTTTGTATTATTTTTAAATAGTTATTATGTTCCAGTTTTTGCTTAACTCGTGGAAAACTCGTTGCTGTTACCCTAGCAAGCACATGAGTCGCCCTTTTCATTGGTCCTTTGGTCGTTAGTGAGTTTGATCTGGTCAGGGAATTCATTATAAAGCTCCACCTATCAAAAAATTTTCAATTGATTACAAATATTTTAGAATCTCTCTAAATATTTGAATTACACAATTCTCTCAATCACTCACTTCACTCTCCTGGGCAAGAGCATTCTTCGCTATCGTCTGAAATGCCTGTTCCACGTTGATAGCTTCCTTCGCACTAGTCTCGAAATATGGAATATTGTTTTTAGACTGACACCACTGTTGTGCTCTTTTCATCGACACCTTAGGAGAAAATAATTGATTAAAATGTGCGGTCAACGATTTTTTCACCGGTTGAAGCACAAAAAATTTTCAAACTCACAGCTCTATTTTCAAAATCGATTTTATTCCCCAAAACAACGAACGGAAAATTGTCGGGATCTCTCGGAGATGCTTGAATGAGAAATTCATCTCTCCATGAATCGAGGGACTTGAAGGAAGTGGGTGCTGCAACATCGAAAACAAGAACACAGCAATCAGCGCCTCTGTAGAAGGCAACACCCAGTGATTGGAATCTCTCTTGTCCCGCCGTGTCCCAAATCTGTGTAACAAAGCATAAATATTCAATAATTTATGCATAAACATCAGCACCTACCGACATTTTTCTATAAATAAATATCTATTTAGACACGTGCAGTGATATTGCACAATTAATAGAATTGGCGCGTAAATGGATAGAATCTTTTATTAGAATTCTGATAGAATTTCCGGAGAAAGCGTGAGATTTTGACGTTTTATTTATTCGTATGTAACTCACCTGCATGGTAACTATCCTATCATCAACCATGACTTCCTTGGTGAGAAAATCTGCACCAATAGTTGCTTTGTACTGATTACTAAACTTTTTATTGACGTACTGATTCATAAGAGATGTTTTACCAACTCCAGAATCACCGAGGATTATTACTTTGAGCAGTACTTTCTTTCGTGAGGCCATGATTGGTCTTCTGAAAGCAAAGAATGCAATTCAATTGACAAATATTCACTGTCTCCTCGTGTATACCACTGGAGATAATTCAGGTGTTTAATGACACGAAGAACTGGATAAACGCTGATACCAAGTGTCGAATCACTAGTGACAAGTCACTGCAATTCTCAATAAAACAATGACAAAGGGAACACGAGGAGGGGACTTCCAAGGATTATTCTACAACAGAAATTAATTAATTCCTGAGTAATGAACGAATTTTGAATTCCAGGAAGTTGAATTCCAAAAATTGATGAATCAACTGGAAGTAATTGACGAGTAAATACCGGAGTTCAATTCATTATTCCGCATTGAAAAATTACCCCGATTTTTAATTAATTAAAAAAACCTCCACCTGTCGGATTAACTTCAATTCTATAGATAAATCTGCGACTAATCATTTTGCCCCAGACAACTCGGCCACAAAAAAATATTACATCTGCGTATCCCAGCCACACGAGATTAAAATTCTCCTCCGATAATTTATATTTAATGAATCATTCGATTGCGAATACTCCCCTCAGTGACGTATGCCTTTATCCCGTGGTGAAAAAAAAACCAGAGAAACTAAATAACTTCCGTTTGGAGTCAGACTAGACCCCAAGACGTCATAACCCAATTATTTGACGTAAAGACTTTCTAAAGTTCAATGAGAACAACGAGTGCTGATAATTGAAGATTTATGGGACGCGAGGGGGAGGGAAGGGGGGAAGGATAATTTCCAAATCTGAAATAATTGCTTTATTTGGGTGAAATGAAAATCTGTCAACACGTAAAGTGGTTGTGCGTCAATTCAACAAAGAATTAATTGTCGAATGTTGATAGATTTTCAGGCAATGACTATTGAATTATTGTGCGTTTTTTGGGGGGTTAATGAGTGGTGATTGTTGTTATTACCTTTCAAAATTGAATTATTATTCGATGAATTTATCTCAGCTCTGAGACCACAAGTTGCACACAAAGAAAATGGCGTATTATGAAATCTATGAAATCAGACTGTGACACTGGTGTCGTCACCTGTTCGAAATCACCTAGGAATATTGCGCACGCACATATATAGGGAATTTATCGGAGTTCCTGCGATTACCCGTAGCGGGAAAATTTGAATGATCAATCGGTGACAATTGAAATATTCTACAAAAAATATTTAAAATACTCACCGGTCCCACATATTCTCCAATTCATGAAGAATATATCGGGATATATCCAAAATATATAGTTTTATATTTTGTGGATAATATGTGATTGTTATTGTTGATGTTATTGCTGCTGCTATTGGAAGAATTGCAGAGAAGTTATATTTTTTTTATGCACGAGGAAAATTGGAAATAGTGCAGGATTTTGAGTGATTTAAAAAAAGTGATACGTCAGATCAGCTGATTACGTGGCAAACGTCAGAGAGAAGACTGTCTCATGTTCAGAAATACGGGCAAGTCCATTAAGCGGCAAGTGCGCATAGAAGAACGCTCGAAACGCGAGTGATCGTTTTTTAGAATTCCCCCAAAAGGTAAAGGTAAGTAAAATATAAATTATCCATATTCCACTCCTTCCACACGACTTAATATTCCAGTTCTATTTTCCTCCTGAATTATAAGTGATTCAGAGAATCAGATATAAAATATTTCCCATGACTAAATTTTTATCACACTATAATAAATATCAAAAAATAGTTACCGAAATTACAATCACTTCGCCCTTTCCATTAAAAAAATTATTAAAATTGAAAAACATAGTTATTTAAATTTGCCACACGACGAGGTAGAAGTTTTTAAAATTTCAATCGTTTATAATGCACCAATCGAATATTTTATCATTTTTCTTAATTGATCTCATGACGTTATCAATTATTTATCCATTTATTAATTAGCTTCTCTCTTTACCTTTCTGCTCTTTGAACTAAACTCCATACGCAGAGAATCAATACAAAAATTCTTGCGCAAGACCCGGGGGGCTCCCTGATAATACCTGCAGTGTTTACTTTTTCATAAAATATTTTTTGAAAGATGCTTGAGTTCATTTATTTGCACAGCCGACGGAGAAACGGGTTTTTTTTTTTGAAGTCCCACGCCCCACCTTCCTGTAGCTCCAACTAAATTCCAAAGCTATAATTAGTTTAATTAATTAACGATTGATTAATTAATTCAATTATACATTTTTTAAATAGATGACCGACAGTGAGAGACTTCTTGGGACTCTTCTGAAAACTTCTGAGAAGGCCGCAAACATCGCTCGAGTCTGTAGACAGAATGAGGCCCTCTTTCAACTGCTGATTCAGGAGAAATCCGAGGAGGAAAAGAATCCGCGATTTTTCCACGACTTCAAGACTCTCGCTGACGTTCTCATTCAAGAGACTATCAAACATGACATTGGGCTGGAGGTAAATCCCTCGTCATCCCACCGTCTTCAGTATTTTTTCATTTACATTTTATATTCCATTTATATTTTAATTGCCATTCACTAACAGATTAACCAGTATTAATCTCGATTGTCGTATTGATCTAGATAATAATCAGTTTCCACAGTTAGCGAAGAGAGTAAGAGGCGAGGAGACTAATGTATTCTCTAATACCCTGGGTACCACAGTCACTGTCGAGGTGAAGCCTACGCAGACAGAAACAGAGAATTTGCTGGCAGAAATTCTGGATAACAATACAACGACTGCCGAAGTTCTTGCAAAAGAGATCCATCGAGAAATCGATATCTCCGAAATTCCAGTCGATACTGGTATCGACGATCTTATCTTTAATATCGATGTCGAGGATCTGGCAATTTGGGTTGATCCCATCGGTAATTTCTCCCTCTTTCTGCAGAATTTATCTGACAAGCTATTTCAATTCATGAGGAAAGATGTGAATTGAAATTTTATCATTCTCTCTGAATTGAATTTTAGACGCTACAGCTGATTACATAAGTGGAAATAATGTTGTTGACGAAACAACAAATTTGCACACGAGTGGTTTACGTTGTGTCACTGTACTTATTGGTGCATATTCAAGGTCAAGTGGAGATCCTATTTTAGGGGTGATAAATCAGCCCTTCTACACGTGCGAGGATTCCCAGTAAGTCGAATATAAGAATTCATATAAACCTTGAGAACTCGTAATAATCCCCTAGAACTTTTAATTGTGATAAAAATAAACTCCAGGTGGAAGGGCCACTGCTACTGGGGTTATTACAACAACGAGATATCTCAGTTTTCATTTTCAAAGCCTGAAAGAGTCACCAACACGATTCTGGTGAGTCGATGCGAAGACCCGACCATCAGATCAAAACTCGAGGACAAAGGCTACCGCTTGATGGAGGTTTCTGGTGTTGGATATAAAATTCTGAGTGTTGCCACTGGTCTCGCAGATGCTTATATCCTCTCCAAGGGTTCTACATTCAAGTGGGACACGTGTGGACCTCAAGCACTCCTTAATTCAGTAGGAGGTAGCATCTTTGACTTCAATAAATACACATATGCCACATCAGATCTTGATCTCAAATATCACCTGAAGGAAGAAAATCACGCGAATCGCGGGGGATTGTTCGCCTTCAACAACCTTTTCACACTCTTTCGAATCTCTTCCATTGGTTTTCCATGAATTTTCCGGTCACCGGGTCGGGAAAGTGCTATAAAAAATTTTTTATTGATGTTATTTTAAATAAGAAATATGTACTTTATTATAATCCACTTCCAGAGTGGGAATTACTGTGGTTTTATGTACATTAACAGCTCTCACAGTGAAGTTTACACTTAATTCCAATGAATACTATTTTTTAATTATTAATTCCAAGGATCATTAGTGCTTGTTCATTTGTGGGATTTTTTTTTGTTCTTTGGGCTCGTATAGTATTATATACAGATGTTTCTTGAAAATTGGATCTTCCAATTGAACTCCAACATTTAACATTTTTTTGACATTTATAAATAGTTAAATTGCAATCATTAAGATTGTCCAGTCTTAATTGTTAAACTGTGAGATCAACATTGAATATTTCACTCACATATTATTCTCTGTTCTTCAAATGAATTATCAGACTTTCCTGTGATGAGCCTTTGGAATTTGTAATTGAGAAAATTTTACATCTCTTTTTAATGAATGTTATATTTTAATTGTTGATAATGAATTCAGAGAATAAAATCGCGAAGTGCCAAACGAAAATGTTTATTCTTATTCAAAACAATATTTTTGGTTATTCCTGAAAAAATAAGACATGGGAATAAAAAAAATTGAAAATTATTGCGGGAAAATTAAAATTGCGATAAGGAATTAGAGGTCTTGAGAGCGAAAGAAAATTAGTTAGATCTGGTCTTCGGCTTGACCCTCGAGTTTCATGAAAATTCGGTGCTGATTCGATCTCGCGGGCTCGCAATGCCGGAAACTGGCACTTCTCACTGGCATTCCATGACATACATCTGTTTTTCTTCTTACACTGACGTAAGTTGTACAGGTGTTCATTCTACGAAGTCCCGTGCAATTAGCCCCGTCGAAACCTGAACTCAAAAACGATTCCCAAATTCAAAAATTTCTTGAACCCTCTGGAAAATTATTATTTTTAATTATCATATCGATTTTAAAAATAAATAATTACCAGATAATTACCAGATAATTACAAGAAATCAAATGATTGAATTGCGGAAAGAGCGAATATAATTTCATTGATTTATTGAGCCTCAGTAATTACGGGAATTAATATTACCCGTGAGTGGCACTCCTGCAGTGCTAGTGTTGTAAGCGGCTAGTCTTCGATCTGGCAATAATTTCCTGAGTCCGGGTATTCGTCCCAGGGCCTTTATAAATCCCAATCGAAATTTGCCACTCATCCAGCAATAAATAACAGGATTGTAACAGGAATGGGACATTGAGAGCCAGTGGAGGGCTGTCCAAGCGAATGGCAATCCTCTCCAGCTATTTATGCTCTCATTATTGTCCAGCACCAGCTGAAACAAATCAATCAATCAATAACCGCGTAAAAATAAATCCTCACGCACCCCAAATACATTCCACAAATAATTCTCACGAAATAAAAATCGCGTTATCCTTCAACTGAATAGAAAAGCATTATTTAATTACGAGAATCCATTTGCAGAAAGTGGAGGAAATATTCTCGTCTGCATTATGGATTCACAAATTCACCGGATATTCCATTAAGTGAGTCCACATTTTTCTATTCACTCCCCAGAAAATACCAGATGAACAATAAAAAATGAATTATATTTTTATTCCGCTCGAGTCGTCTTTTCAATTGAGAAATTCATTTGCCTAGAGAAGACTATTATCATTTATTTCAATTCAACTAAGTGATTCCTTCGTACTAAGAAAGTCGGATAATTATTATTAGATTTTATTGGAAGAATTTATTCGTTAGCTAATGTTTTTCTGGAAAAAGGTAAATTTTGATATTTGAGTGAACGGAAATTTGAAATTCAAATAGAACATGTAAATTCGATTTCCAACTTTGAGGGACAATTTCCCTGGTGCACTTAATGCGTTACCAATGCAATTGGTGGTGAGTACTCAACCCCTATAACACCCCTCTCATTCATCCTGAATCCTGGGGAGATTGGTAACAATGAGGATGTAATTGCGGTACCGGAATTTGTGAATGTAGCCCTATTATTGTGCAATCTCATTATTTACAATGTTGCGATAGTCCGGAGAAAATTGCATTTCTGAATATTTTAGGATTGAGTTATTTTTCCGTTTCCTCCAGGAAATTAAACGGCCAACGGAGAGAAAAAGTTTCTCCGCGTTGAATTAAAATGTCCCAGTGGTAGAAAACAAGTTTTCATTGTGTATTTTCTTTCTTCCTCCGAAAGTTACGATTACTACTCAATTTTTCGCGTGCCAACGAAGAACTTGGGGGAATTATAAAAAAATATAACAGTAAGATAAAAATTATCTGTATTTGCGTTATTTTTCATAATGCGGTGATGATGAGATAATTTTTTACTGCAAGTGGCGTAATGAGAAAATTCTTTAGAAATTCTCAATTGAAAGCAATCGCGTGAATAATTTCTATTCAGAGTTGGGAGATGGAGTTTAAAATGAATGAAGGAAAAAGGTGAAAAACGGCAGAGCCACTGGGGGAAACGTCTTTTATCTACTCACTCTGGGATAGAATTTTATGTTCTTTGGTTTACTTCGTCATTATTATTTTATTTGAGAGGGAAAATGGAGCCAGGGACTCGGTAATTCCCACACCTGTGCGAGATCTTCATCTTTTGTGTTTTGAGTACAATTTTCAATCCGCGCGAAGTTCGAGGGTTCTAAAATATCGGAATAATCTAGATAAACACTTACCGTGAGAACATTGAAGGGTAACCAGCAGATCGTGAACGCGATAACCACTGTCATCATCATTTTTATCATCTGTAAAAGAAAAAAAAGGGTTTAGACTTTTGACTTCTCAATTCGTGAAAAATTTCTCTTCAAACTTCGTGAAGTTTTGCATTTTCTCAGAAAATTTCCTCAAGACAAATGTCGAGACACGAAAATTACAAGAAGTGAACACGAGCTCAGGCTTTCCCTCGGAAAATGCCTCAATAGCTTTCGCGCGGAGTAATTGACGGAAACTTGAACGGGTGACGTCGAGTAAAATTGGTAGATTTGATAATTGATGGGAGATTCTGGCAAAGAGAAACTACGGAGGGACCGGTAGTTTATTTCGACGAAAAGCGAACGGGGGATTACTGGGAGGGAAACCCATCCAAATTGTTCGGCCACGTAACATTTTTCCGGCAAAAAGCTTTCCACTGTACGTCAATTCCAAAACTTTTTTTCTCTTTATTTTTTCCGTGGTATTTAGCTCGGGCTCGCATCCCGATCGTCTCGACTCTGTTTTACGCTTTTACTTTAATTCTCTCATTAATTGAATCTAATTAAAACTACCCTTTATATGATTACGATCGTCAAAGTCGCCAGGGAATCATTCCGTCTGAATTTTGTGCAATCTCAAAATTTTAATGATCACTTTTTACGTCAAAGGCTTCTCATTAAATCGATATCTATGAAAAGCGACTGGTGTCAGCGGTGAAAATAATGAGATGATGAAAATTTCAATTGAGGTCCTCAATTTTTAAAGAACATCGCATTATCCTGGAATAATTGGGCTTTCGTCTAGGAATTAGTTGAATTAAACGATTTAATTCACGGCAATAATGTTTATCCGATTGTTATTATGTAATTATTTATACCAACCAACCATTTACGTAATGCAACAAATTACCATCATATTCACCACTTTTCGAGTGCCTCTTCGATGTGCAATCCCACAGTCAGTTATTCATGGAAAAATTTTGCAGAAACCCATGAAATGTAGAACGATTCTATCGTTATGTAATCCATATATACATACACCATATCCATATACTCATCCCTCGTCGGTTATGTATGTCTTCACCCAGGTGAATCTCAAGTTTCGTATCTATAATACTGACTACGTGACTCCTCTCTCAATTTCATATTGCTATCAAGTTTTTCCCGCCCACTCATCTTTTTTATCAGCGGATGTTGCGCAAAGATTGCGGCTCATCTTCACTCAGATTTTCGTCACTTGAATGGCTAAATCCTATCGCAATTTCCATACTTCATCTTTACTCCCTCAACACGTCACGTCCGATAATTCCAGACATTTCATCCCTTGCGTATTGTCGGCTGCTGATTGAGAGCTGTCAGATTCATTTTTTTTTTAAGTGATCGATGAGGGCAATTCCACGAAATCACTTTTTTTTCTTTCATCTGTCGATTATTTATGGGTCAAAAGAGTTACGGGGAATTATAAATATATTTGCGTTACGAAGGGATAATATTATAATTACAATATATAATAATATATTTTCATTATTATTTATTATAATTTTTTATGGACCTAGTACTCCAGTTCCAAAAAAAATCATAAATCTGTATTGATAAGACGATATTTTTATTACCGACCTCTCGAGATTAATCGTATCCAACATTTTTATTTATTATTTCAAGCTGTAAGATAAAAATAATTCTCGGTAAACATCTAGTGTACGGATTGCGTATTTAAACTCTTTGAAATGATTCTACATTATCTGATCCGGTATGGTCTAGTGGCTAGGATATCTGGCTTTCACCCAGGAGGCTCGGGTTCGATTCCCGGTACCGGAATTTTTTTTTGTTTTTTTTTTTGCGTTTTCATAATAAAACAAATATTATAGATTGATAGAGACGCGCTATAACGTATCGATAAAAAAAAATGTTGACATCAATTGATCAAAATGTGAGATATTCGTGTGCAGATGAGTCCCGGTGTTTAAAATTTATTTGAGGTACCTCTCGACTCCGAAATAGCTGGACCAGAGGGAAATACCAAAAATATACAAACGAACGCTCAAATTTATAGCGTGTTGTAGAGCTTTCACCAGCTCGCTTATTTTTCACGTCAAGTCTGTTTAATCTATCTCAATCCGTTACACGAACAATTTTCCCAAATGATTCGCAGACGGGAGTATTATTTTTTTCTTAATGATAAATAATGGGAGAGAGGTTGGAGACAGGAGAGACTATTTGAGGTGAAACACCTGGGGCAAATCCTATTATCCGTAAATTTCTATCAAGCGACGGATCGCGCATCACGCGACAATTTTCTCTCCCTTATTTTTCACCCCGGGATCATAAGTTTCCCCTCGGTATATCTTCGACAGAAGTTGGTCGCACCACGAAGGGGCTGCCCTGACCAAGGGAAAGTGAAAAACGTGAGAATGGAATGGAATATGTGGAATAATAAATTATAAGGGAAAGACCGGAGGAAAAAACTGCGATATGTTTTTTTAATATCTTCCCATCACGAGAAAGTAATATATGACATATGAAAATATACTCTACCTCCATTTTAATATTTTATATACCAAAAAAATTATTATATTAATTTTTCCCTGATATCTGCAGTAATTTGTTTAAATACAATTGCATCTCTCCTATATGCTATCCACCGAAAAACGTAATATTGAATAATGACCGGCAAAAGAGGCGATAATAATTGTCAAGTGATAACTCGTTAGCTTAGATACACATAATTAGTGTAATGATAACTGGACAAGCCATAAATAAACACCGCGCCCTGTAAATTCACCGGTGATTAAAATCCCTCCCCGATATTCAAATTGTCGAATCGAATGTACAAATCGATATCGAATCAATCTTCCCTAAACACATGCCTGAGGGAATCATCTTAAGAAAGTCATTTGTTTCAATCAAAACTTAATTAATTAATTCAATCACACGTTTTTTCATTGTGCGAAAAACGAATTGAGAGGATCAAATCGAATTTAAATAATTTTGAGAAAGACATTATTTCTCATTCATAAATAATGCGTCTAGTGAGAAGATGAATAATTATTATTCATGTTTTTAATAATAATTATTTCTTCCGAGTAAAATTGCCGGTTAATTATCATTTTCCTCTCTCGTCAGAACACCGGGGGGTACGTCAGATAATTACACGGATATGAACCGAGACGTGCGGTAAATTTCTTTTCCGTGCGTCGATTTGAATAAATTTTCGATAAGTTAATTTATATACCCGTGTGAAGGAAGTACTGTGGTAATATCAAGTAACAAGATGATGACTCTCAGTTTATTGTTAGTTGCACTCGCGAGTGTCGACGGTAAGTAAATAATTTTATCTTCAATTATTTTTAATGGAAAAGTCATTGAAATTTCGGGGGGCGTCAGTCCGTGAGTCATTTGGAATTTATTTTTATCCCAATCAACTGATTTATTTTATCCTTTCATTTTTCGAGAGGGAGATCATCGAATATGGGATATACGCTCTTTTAATCCGTCAGCTGGGGATTAATTGCGAATCCCATCGAATTCCGATAAAATATACGGCAATATTTCCGGCTTTCTGCTTCGTGCGATTTTTTATTAAGAAATTATGAACCGTTTGATATTTTATCATTTTAACTTGTCGTTCATTTCGATAGGTTGTGGGTAAAAATTTCTCATGGGAAAATTGCCGGTCGATTGAAAATTGCAAATATTTATTCGGTAATATTTTTAAAGTGGAAATTAATGCCTTGGACACTGCGCACAGGGGAATATTGATGATTAATCGATTTTGTTGTATCGATTGACGAGAGTTCAGGGCTTCATAGCCTCTGGGAGAATATTTGACGTCTTTTTTAGAGAGATGAAGGGACGACGTACCCGACACAGAGACCTAGATCCTTATGAGGGATCACCGGGGGATCAAGGGATTTCCAGACGATACGATACGAGAAAAAATTGAATTTCCATGAACAATTGATAAAGTAATTTACTGAAAGCCCCGGGATAAATTTATATTACAAAAAATATACTGGATACTATTCTCGCGGGATTGTTTTCCTGGAATTTAATAATTTTCAATGACTTTTCCATCAATTTTTGATCTGTCCGCTGGGAAATAATCGAGAAATTTTCAAGTTGTGGAAAATTTTTCCCGTGAAATTTTTCAGTACTTGTCAAATGCACGAGCATTTGGCTATGAAAGAGAACGACTTTCCATAACTTCTGAGTAATAACTTATATTTTATAGATGAAACTCATATTTCCGATGTTTCTAGCTGTTGCGGCTGCGACAACAAAGTTTGAGAGGATTTTCCTGCGGGTTTTCCTGAGGTAATGAAAATTGAATAGCTTTCGACAAACTCGACAATTATAAAATAAATTTTTATCTCTATTCACAGGGAGAATTCGTACAGAGATGCTCCTGTTGCCAGCGTGTCAGATTTAATCCCACACTTTGATATCAATAAAAAAACCGTTTTTTATATTCACGGATTTTCGGAGAGCGTCAATAGTTCGAGTGTTATGACAATCGTCAGTGGTAATTAAAATTCAATTAAAGAACAATTTTATTTCCGGGAAGATAAATTTGATTCGGAATACCAATTAGTGATAAATAATAATAGTTTGTAATTTAATTCTAGCTTATTTGAAACGAGATGATCACAATGTCGTAGCGATTGACTGGAGTGAATTAGCCGCGGGTAATTACATGGAAGTAATTTCTCACGTCGAAGAGGTTGGAAATTCCATTTCTCGAGGAATCAATGAACTTGTGAAGGGAGGAATTTCCCCATTGCGAATTCACGTGGTGGGACATTCAATGGGGGCACACGTGGCGGGAAATGTCGGAAGGAAAATAGGATTTTTGCTTCCACGAATAACCGGTAAAATCAATAACACGGATCAATGATTAATCGTGAAATTTATTCGGTGATTGATTTTTCCTCGGGATTGATACATAATTGATTAATTTATTTATTATATACATTTCAAATCGGCCGCCAGATATCGAAACTTCCGGAAACATTTACTCCAAGATTTTCAAACTCTCAAACTGTTATGAACCCGTTCTTGAGGCAATTGAATTCTATCTCACCGTGGCAATTTTCCATTCGAGTTATTTCACTATTTGCACACAGAAACAAGAACTACTTGAGCTTCCGAATTGAAAACGAATCGGTGCACAAGTTTTCGATGAGTTTCTATGAATTGCCATTAAATTCTCATCGTTGCAGAATAATCCTCGAGTGATTCCTCACAAATTCAAATCCATCGATAAATTCTTTTTTCAATTTGCCACCAATTCCGTCTATTTTCACCTCAAAAATTAATCAACAGTCCGCAAAATAATAAACAATTAATGAATATTTTAGATCATTGGCTTTTACCCGCAGGTTTAGACCCGGCGGGTCCTTTTTTTAATTTTTTTAATGAAAGATTAACTCGATCCGACGCTAAATTAGTGGATATAATTCATACGGATGCTGGATTCTATGGAATAGCCAGACCCAGTGGAACTGTGGAATTCTGGCCTAATGGAGGAACACGATTACAACCCGGATGCCCATCAAATTCCCGAGTATATACCAAAGAAGGTGAATGCATTATTATTCTCCACATTTGTTCTTAACAAATTTTATTAACAGAATATCAAAGATTTCTGTAGTCATCATCGCTCTTATGTGTACTACGCTGAATCATTACTGAATGAAAATGCCTTTCTATCGACTGAATGTTCATCGGAATCTGGCACGTTCGAGAGAAATGGGAATGGGAAATCGATTCCAATGGGATATGCAACACCACCCGATACGTGAGTTCATTATCAATATTTTTGTTTGTAATTAGATTTGTTTGGGAAGTTTATTTCCTTCAATGACTCTTCCCTTTTATTTCAGAATTGGAAGCTACTGTCTCGTTACGGGGACTAAAGAACCCTTCGGATTAGCTGCGAAGGGAGAACTTCAAGCTCCTGATCCCACCAGCCAACTGCTGCCCATCGCCTCATAATTACAGAATTCCTCTCACAAACCCAAGAATTGTATCCCCTGACGATAAATAAAGAAAGAGCAATTAACTTCATTGTGGAAATAATTTAATCCCTTAGTATCCATGAATAAGATAAAAATTGTCATTAATATTGACTCGCTTATCAGAAATTATTGCAAATCCGTGGATTTATTCTTGAATTGAATGAATTCTGGAAGTAATTAAAACGATTGAAAATGTAATGGATATGAATTTTTGATAAGCGAACGATAAGAAATGATTATACATCCGGAACAATTTGCAAGCAACCCCTATATTCGAAATGGTTTTGCAATTATGAAAGAATAAAACAATGACAACGTATCTCGTTACGCGATATGAAATTGGGTTTTGATAGCAATTGCTTGACAACGACTCATGACAAATACATTCCATTGAAATAAAACTCATTGGATTGTAATTGTGTCTCTTGATGAAAGAAAATCGAGAATCGAGGAAACGCATAACGATTCTTCCACTCCGATGGGAATTTCCGAATCAATGAATACCTGGGGAGGAGTGGAACAAAGGGAGTGTTATGCTCAATGAAATGAGCCAATCGACTATTTTCACTATCGCAAAGTGCCTATTTAAATGCACAAACCGATTGACAATATTATTTATTCATCCCCGTGTTAAGCTGATAGACTAAGATAAAAATTTCGATTTATTATTTGAATAAACGCGCCAGTACGGGATGATTTACACCTTCAGCCGCTTTTTCAATTTTCATTGATAGGTTTTTTAGGACGGAAATAATCCGAGGTATTTCTCGAATTCCTCAATTGGTCGTGAGTTTAATTAGGCAATAATATTGTTGAGGGCTCTCGTATTGTGGAGCTTGGATAAATATGGCAGCTCTCCAATTCTCGTTCTGATACAATAGGAAAATACGATACAATATATCTATGGCAATGCTTTCATTATTAACATTGTTGATATTCCTCAAATTAATCCCATTGTTCTCCATTCGCACTATTCAATCAACGCCGGGATGAAACAATTATCGCGAGGGTGAGGGACAATTACAACGGCGTTAAAAATTTTAATAATCCATGAATTTCCAGTCCAACGACCAATTCCCAAGAAATGTATTAAAAAATTTTATTTTGATGGAATATCTTCTGCAGATAAATAATTGCAATGGATTGACGTGTCAAACATGGCGGCCGCTCCACCTCGCAATTTTAAACAGCTGTAAAAACGTTTTGGGGTATTCGAATTACATCTTGTCGGTTTTATTTTATTTCTTGCGAGTGAACCATTTTTTAAAACCATATGAGAGTATATTGAGAGATATTTGGGGGGGAAAACGAGAAGAGAAATTTTTTTTTTCGTTTGAGCCTTGAAAAATATTTACCTTTCGTTTGGATTTCGCCATTTTCCGATCCCTCGTGTTTTCGGCCTCGCCAGGGGGTCGTTTTCCCCACACCCTGATGGCGATGCTGCTGTAGGTAAACATAAGGACCACCAAGGGGACCAGGTACTGAAGGACCAGCAACGCTATTGAGTAATAATACCTGTTGAGACGGGAAAATCCATTAGTGCCGCGTGAACGGTGCATTAGTTTCTGGGGCAGAATTTCTCAGTAGAGTAGTTCCAGAAAAAAATTGAATAGAAAAACTCCTCCAAAAACTATCTAAAAAAAAAAAGATAAATAGATCCTTTTCGATTGCTCGTCATAGAAACAAATTTATCCCTCCGAAAAACGAAATTCACACCCTCTCCTTATTAACCAATCAAGGAACTCGTACCAAAACTCTATTATCCCTGATCACATGAGAAGAGTAAACTCTCGAAAATTCAAATTACATTCTGACGAAAATTCGGTAACACGTCTAATCCATAAAATTATCCGTTATTAAATCACAAAAAATCTCTTACCTCTGATGCGCCGACGGCCAATACTCCTGACAAATAAACTGATTGCACATTTTGTATTTGTCATTGGGCTGCAACAACCGGGAAACAACAGCAATCGGCGACGAAACCGTCAAGGCTAATAACCAAACAGCCAAGATCAATAATTTCGCCTGTCCCTTATTCATTCGTGGCTTCAAGGGCCACATAATCGCAACGTATCGATCAATGCTGATGGTCACGAGAGTGTAAGCACTCACGAGAACCGAAACAGCCTGAAAAGTCAATCATTAGTGAGAACCGGAAGTGACGAAATCGGAAGGAGAAGATTAGAACCCAGATTACAGAGAAAATAGCCCAAATCACGACGATAAAGCATCAACCACCATTAGACATCCATATCAATCAAAAAAAAAGTGATTATCCCCTCGAGTAATTTGAATCCCTAAAAAATCGGCAATTAAAATTCATTTAAAAATATACACACGCACAACCTAAAATTAAATAAACAATTGAAATAAAATTGAGTTGAATTATCGGGTGAAGTATAATTGCAACAGCAAGTGGAATAATTGGGTGATATAATAAGTGAATGTTGAGATAGGGGAAAAAATTCTCATTAGGATGATGTAATTATAAAAAATGCTTTACCTGGGAATAATTGACACTGGGACACATCTCCGAGCCAAATGGCCAGTACTGGAGAATAAGTGTACTGACAAAGCTCGTTGGTACACAGAATACAGCCATGAGTATATCCCCAAAGGCAAGATTAACAATAAAGTAGTTTGTTACTGTTTTCATTGGTGGACTGCTCCATACAACGTAACATACCAGGGCATTACCAAATAATGCTACAACGAATATTGTACCGTACAGTACATAGAGCATTGTCTGGAACCATGTCGCTGCTAAGATACTGGTTGATGGTAGAAATTCATCGCAGGGGTATGCGTCGTGTTGATTCGTTGTTAGATTCTCCTCACTCCAATTTTTACCAGTTATTGTGACATTCAGAGCTGCTTCCATCTCGCTATTTAGAGACGAGATGGTCCCGTTTATCATTGCTGCTGGTACCAATTCAATATCATGATTGTCACTCAAAATGACGGACAGTTGTTCCTCAGAGGTGTCTCTTTCTCGTGTCCTGAAAATGTCTTCATTTATTAATCAATTCCATAAGTTCGATTGAGTAATTACTGGATATGTAATTACTCGGTACAAACAAGGATTTGATACTCGGGAAGTTGTACTTTGTTGTTTTTCAAACTATCGAGGGAGTGATAGTGTTCTCCTTTCAGGTAACTTCTTACATGAGTTTGTGAACGTCAAAGGGTTTCATGTTCCACGCAGATTAAAACTAAGAAAGGGGCAGTGTTTCATCACTGAATACCTGAGGACATCAAAGAGTCTTTCCTAGTTTACCCTGAAGAAAAATTTCAACGACATAAAATCCGATAATTCTTCTCGGTGTAACAGCTCTGTCATCCGGAGTTCCAAAAATATTAGCAATAAGAAGTTTCCCAAAATCTCGACATTTCCTAGATAAATCATTCCTTCAGTAAAAAATGGGATGCAGTTTCGAGGATATCTCTAAAGAGGATTCTGTCAACAGAGGAATGTGGGAAGAATAGAAAGTACTGCTGGAGCACGTGAATGGTCCCGTGATTGGACTGTCTCCTCCAGATGTTTTTTTTTTCGTACTGGGATGGTGAAACTGGTGAAATGAATACCGAGTGCAGTGCAATCGGCGAAAAGTACAGAGCAAACAAGTCGAATTTCCCACCAATTTTCCTTAAATCTCGGAGAGAAGGAAAATCCCAAACATTTCCTAGAATTTCAGAACGTGTGATTATCAAAAATTGAGAAAAAACCGAAGAAAATCCAAGGATAAAGAAAAACGTTGAGTCGTGAAAAGATATATGAAGATATGAAAATATGAAAATATGAAAATATGAAAATTCATGTGGCATTTTATGACTTCCACATGTCTAAAAATATCCAGCGGCTCCCTGAAGGCACATCAAAGAGATAATGTCGAAAGCCGTCATTTTCCTTTTAACATTTTCTTTTCGTACGGAAAAGCCGTGGATTCCAGTCAACTTGTTCCAACCGGGCCCGACGTCGTAGGTCATTCAGAGAAAAAATTTGACGCAGTCAAGCCGAAGTTAGAGAGACGTTTCTCGAATTTTTCTTGAAGAATCCGTCGGTTCGACGAATAGATTGAATCGGTATAGGAGGCTCATTGTTTCTTGATGGGTATCATCGATCGACAATCAAATACCGTCAGAGGTACGGTATTGTGATCCTGATGTCTCGTATGAAGTTCTCACAGGATGTTCAGGGATCGTCGGACACGGTCAATGTTCGTGAAACGACAACGGGAGTTTCCCTGGAGAGTCCAGCATCTCCATCGATAATCTGGGATACGTGCGGTCCAGTACTGCACGCAGATAATCCAATCGATAATTTCAATTAAGCGACGATGGTACGTCAAAAACAATTGGGTGATGAGACATTGGGGACTGCCCGAGAGGACTCGGAAGAACGGGGGGTTGATTCAATAACGATCTGGTCGATTCCTGGAATGTTCCTGAAGAGATTTCTCCAGAATTGATGGAAATCGATTTGAAAAATTAGGAGTGGAATCGCGAGAAAAAAAATTGAAAAATCGGTGGAAAAATCGGTGGTATTATCGATGGGAAATTATCGATACCGTTTTCTCAATTGTATTCCATTCGATCTTCTCTTTAAAAGTTGAAGGAAATCGGACTTGTGGAGGTGATCGGTGGCAGATCGGTTAGAATAAAAGTCTGTTAGAATAAAAAAACCAGGTCGACTCTGATTTCTCAGATTTCGGTAAAAAATAAAAACGAAAATACTGTATCAATGCTTTATAAATTCCAGATAATTTTACGATGATAAACTATCGGTGCGACAAAATCGTTATCAAGAAAAATACCGCATTAACTTCATCTTGTCCCAAGTTTTTTATTCACGCTGAGATATCCCCGGGAAAACTTCGGGAAAACTTCGGGAAAACCATAATTCCTGATACTCCAGCACTTGAACTTTAAATTTATGTATCACTGATACTGCAGCTCCTCATTGTCGCAAATTTTTTTTTCGCATCTTGAATTTTAATTAGAGTCCAGCCGAAATGGGCATTCCCATTAAAGGCCGCACATTGAGATCCTGAAAATACTCGCGATTCAGGAAAATCCGTGAATTTTCTTTCAGAGAAAAATCCTCTAATCCTCGATAAAACTTTGAATAACTCAATTTTTCTCGCACTTTCATCCCTTAATTCGTCAAAAGTAAAAGACATCCGACTCTTTGCCACGACTTCACACCACTTTATCCTCTAGCTCTTTTTCAGCGACTCGTTAGTGCTCTCCAACTTTTTCACTCACATTTTCTCATGACTGCTGGAGTACATGAGACAAGTAGCTCATCATTCATGCAGCAATTCATTTGTCCCCTCTGTTGTACTAATTTGAAAATAGCACGGTGTCATGAATTTCTGAGTGCAGTCTCAATTTTTCATTATTTTCCAGACATTTTTACGGAGTCATCAGAGGTCAGACACATTTCCCCATCGGGGTTGCAATTATTATTTAGGGAATTACTGTCAATTGCGTGTCAATTCTCTGATTCTTTAATTACATTACTATAGATTGTGTGGCTGAACTTAGCATGTTTTTTTAGTCTTGATAATGCTGATGAGAATTGTTATGAATTCCTCACGAGGATCTGGGGATCTGTCGTGGAGGTCCCGCATAATTACGGAATTGGATGGAACGCTTTTTATTTGTCCTCTCCATGTGGATCTCATTTTAAAAACTAGTCTACGTCAGCTTCATGAATTATATTTGTTTGCTTGGGTACTGAGTGGAAAAGGGTAAAAATCACGCGAAAACGGTAACATCCACCGAGTTATTTACCCGGAACCATTTCACAACAAAGACCCTCGGAGAGTTGAGGAAAATAGGGGAAAAAAAATAAACCAGAATCTAAAACATTTTACACTAGATCTTTGTTCCGGGAAAATTCCGCGAAAATTCCCCGGAGTTGTTTGTCGTCGTCATTGTAATTTCAACTTCATTTTATTATTTAGTATTTTATTTTCAATCCTGTCTACTAAATAATTAATTTTTTTATTGTAGTATTAACAAACTTTCGTTCTGGAAAAATTCCACGGAATTTTCCAGAATTTTTCGGGAATTATTTTTTATTGCAAATTAAATTCTAATTTTTATTTATTATTTGGTATACCGTTTTCATTGTGTTCATCAATTTGGGGGAATAATTACCCGAGAATATTTTGTGGAAAATGTAATTTTAAATAATTGAGTGGGTTAGTATTTTTTTTTTGCTGCGGGGGAGGTATTTTTTTTTTTGCTGCGGGGGAGGAATTTTGGGGGAAAAAATTGACGGAAAATTCTCGGGAAAATGTCATTACGAAGATACGAATTTCATTTTTATGAGGATTCCCCATTTTATGGGGAAACCCTAAGGAACAATCATCGGAGATCCCTTTCTCGGCATTTCCAAGACTCCATTATCTTCCCTTCTATTTTACTGTATCATTTCTCCAGTAAATACAAGTTGTTGGGAATGGGTAAAGGTTGTACAACTTCATTCTTTCCTTTTTATCTGGAATTGCGTGAGGAATTCCCGGTGGGAATTTCAAACGGCGAATATCAAAATTACGATTGGACCGAGAACAATAATAATTGCTATAAAATTGAGGGGTGGAAAGGGAGAAATTAGGATTGCGTTCCATCATCGCTATCTTGAGTGATCAATTACGTGGAATTTATCACACATTACAGTTACGAGTGATTCATAAACCGAGGATTCAATTTCAAATGTCATTCCGTGACTTTCCACTTCGAGAGAAAATAACTTCAATAACCGAGACACAAAGATAAATTCTCGATTTAAATTCGAGGAACTGCTGAGATAATTCAAATGATTTCATTGAAAAATCTATTTTTTTAAGTCGATTGGGGGAGGACTTCTCGTGAAGTCCTATATTAGATGAACTGTCAGGAATTTTCATTGATTTTCAGAGCTGCATGACTGATGAATGAGATATCGGGAATTCAATGAATTCATGAAACTCTTTGATGTCGAGCCGTCAAATGGAATTCATCCCCTGGAATTAACTGATTTAATTAGAAAGATCAAATGGTCCAGAGGAAATTTTTCTTATCTCGATGGAAAAACTTTAAAATGGCGGAAAGTCTGAACCACTGACGAGGGAAAGCCGTTAATTTTTCTCCATTCGCGCTTAATCCATCAAATTCTATCGAGGATTAATAAGTCCGCAAGAAATTGTAATTAATGGTGTAATGACTCGACGATTTCATTCGTTTTGAAAGCTAAGGCCAGTTAATTCCAGGGACTTTCTCGGAAATTTCATGTGATAAAAATACCCCGGGGTAGAAGCGTCAGACGATTATAGAATTTCCCAGAGAATTTTCTTCCGCGAGGGGGAGGAATTTTTTAGCGTAATTATTCGGAATTATTCGTTCAATTAATTAATTCATCGTGGAAAATAATTCTGGAATATATTTGAATGGGAAATATTTTTCACCAGATCTTGGTCTAGGGCAGAAAAAAAATTCCAGGGAATTTCCGCGAGTTAATGATTTTTTAAAAATATTTTCTTCTGGAATTTCACCGAACGCGGTCTGACCAGATGCCGTCTGTTTCTACTTTGACGCAGAATCCTCAGACTTTGTTACAAAGTTCCATTTGTCTCGACTTGAATTGTAAAGGGATACGGATGATAGTCACCAGCTGTTAGAGAAGTTGTCGGGTCATGCATGAATCATTAAATTCCGAGGGAATATTTGTACAAAATTGTTTGCAATTCGTGAGTCAAGTGGCGGAACAATGACGCGAGTTCTGCATTTGAATTCCCAATTTCATTATTAAACAATTGCTTAAATAAACGAATGATAAATTTATATCCGATACATGAGACCCTCAGGGGTTTCGCTAATTAAAAAATATCGACACCATTGGAAAATTGGGGGAAAAATAATCAATGAGTGGAGTGAAATGTTTTCAATTATTTTTCACTCCGTGAAATAATTGAAAAATTTTATAATTACCCTCATTGCAATTTCAGTAATATCCAGCCTCACATGTTCACTCGGTTTACATCGGGAATTCTCACCCAATATTTACTTTCAATCACTTTGAAAATCACGCACGCCAATTTTCACATTTTAAATGAAACCTCATTTTTTTTACACCGATTCAGTATTTTATTTTATTCAATTCCAAAGTGATTATTCAAGATTTATTCGAGACCCCAAGAACAATCACTCATTTCATATTTGAACAGTAAATACAAATAAATTAAAATTCATAAAAGAAAATCGAACAGTCATTGAAATTCGCAAACCGACGACTGTGCACTTAACATTCAGAATATTTTATAACAAATGCCCGGACATAAGTCCTTCAATTCCCATGATTAAATATCACTATAATATTGAATTACCCCGGATTTTTATTAATTATTATTAATTAATGGCGCGATGCGAGACGTCAAAGATGCGGGCGTTGAATTTTCTGGAAATTTCTAGTTTATTTTCATACAGTTATTATTATACATTATTATACAGATTATTATTTTTGTCTTGACTTGTAGTTTCCGCGGAATAATTCAAGGGGGAAAAAATAAGCGCGGGTGTAGGCATGTGCTGATGGAATCGCGGCGAGAATCTGACTGATATCGTAAGTTTGTTGGGGCTTTGAAAACCCGCCGGGTCGAATATCCGCACAGACGCACTAGTTTTCACCATTGAATTAAATATTTTCACTCGATTACAATTAAAATAACCACCAAAACAAGAAAAACTTATAAAAAAAACGTCAAAACCCTCGCGATAATTGAAAATATTATTTTTAGTCCTCCAATTTATTTATTTAAAAATATAAGACTGACTATTTTCAATGATATTGAAGTGTTCAGCTGAGTAATTATAAACTAATAAAATTATAAACTAATGAAAATAATAATAAATTAAAATCCATTAACTCTCGATGAAGTTTACGGCACGTGAAAAAATCATTCCCGCACTAGTCCTGGAAATTTTTCTCGCGGTTTCATGCAGATGTGAGTCAATTAATAGTTTTCAGATTTTCCGTAATTAGATGGATATAGAAAGGTACTCATTACTCAGAACTTGTGCTGCAAAATGCGAAACTATCAGATGGGGATTCCAAGTTTAATGGAACGAACTTGAGAACGAAATTACAACTAAACGCCTAGGGTGAAAATACCATCAGCATGATAAATATTATTTATCCTCGGTAATACGTGATCGTGCGGTATTGAATAATTCATGGATTATCGATGGATAATTGTAGAAAAATAATGGAAAAATAATGAAAAGGTTATTGAGGGTGCAAAAGAATTTCGCGGCTGAGACGTCATTTTTTACCGATCATTTGGATTGGGTTTCTACCTTTTTTATTTGTCTTATTTTTTGGCAATTGATGGCAATTTGCTGTTGTCGTTGATATTTGATGTGCCATCACCTGAAATTGTTTTCTCTGCCATTAACTCCCCCTCGTATCCGCAAAATCCCCTAATACTTCAGGGACAAAAGAGTATAGCCGAAGAAATTTCGAGAATTGAATTGATGGCAGATATTTTCTATTGAAGACGACAAGAGAAATTCCCCAGAAAAATTCCCGAAATAATTTTATCGTCCCCGTAAATTCCACCGATATTTATAATAAAATCTATAAATTTTCCCCGACAGAGCACTAAAATTTACCAATAAAATTCTTTTCAATCCAAAAATTCAATCAACTTCCCTCTACTTTTGAATTTTAATTTTTCACTCGTATCGGATTGATAAAAAAGAGATTTGAATTTCTCTCTCTGTGCAAGTTCTCCTTGAAGTGCCGGCATGATTTTCCTTGAATTACGATACCGAAGAAAATAATAATAAATATAAAACGATAACCTAGTTTTTCTATTTTCTCTGCATGCAATCGTGGAATAATTTATTGCCTAGCCTCAACAAACATTACACGAATTTTGATTTATGCAAAAAGCATTTGTTCGTGGAGAAAATTTTAAATGGAGATATCGTACGAAACCCGTTTGTTTGTCCCGAGTATATATTTACTCCTCATATATACGATGATCTTTTCTATCCCACATTTAATCTCGATTATTTCCGGTATATAAAAAAGATATTCCCCTCATGTTCTCTCGATATCACCCCCCGGAATAAATAAACCATTAGAGTTTGAATTTTAATCGATAATCAATAAAAAATGAATGAAAATAAATGATTATATTAAATAAAATACAAGTTAATGATTAATACAGGGAATAATTCATCGAATGAATACCAAATATTTCCTCCAGCCAATTCACTCGTGGAGACAACAAATAAATTTTTCCACCAACTTCTTTGTTTTATGGAATAAATGAAAATGAATAATTAATGAATACATACAATGTACCATTTATGGTAATGAATCCCCGAAATTCTCTCGGTCTTTTGTCTTCCGAGGTAATTTCTCCGTCGTAATTATTTATTTCCCCATTTTTTTCTACGGAATTAATTCGTTCCTCTCAATGTTCGTTCGTGGAAATTTATTTATATAATAATTAAATTGTTTTGTCTTCCGATTTTTTTTTGTTTTATAAAAAAAAATTCTGAAAAATTGCCGGGAAATTTTTTGAAAATTTGAAAAAAACATTCCGATTACAATTCTTTTTTTACCCGGGAGATTACGACTTCGGAACAGAAAAATCTCCGGAAGATAAAAATTTATCGGGGAAAATGACCCGTAAATGTCCACCCCATGCGATGGGCAGTTTTTTATCTGAATGGTTATCTGAAAATCCATCAATATTTATTTTTACTCCCGTGGGAAATAACAATATCGAGTCAATAGCGCATCCAGTCGAATTGGGGAATTCACATCAAATACGCAGGGTATTTCGTGGTGAATTTATAGCCTCGGGTTGATGGAAAATTTTACGACAAAACATGGACCTGTCAATTTCACCATCTCATTAAAAGGCCTATTATTACTAACTCATTAGCG